TTTATATAAATATATTGCCGCTACTGACATTCCAGGGCAGTGTCCAATATTTTAAAATATTAAAGCGTGTTCTATATTTGGCGAATAATATGTTTGGTTTAAGGCTAATCTAAATCTACCTGACCAAGGTTCAAGGTCATAGAAGTTTATCAACTTTCAAAGACTTTTCTTAACTACCAAGGTGACTTAACAAGAAACAATGTCCCGGATCGATGTGACTTTGCAATTAACAATGCAATGTTCATTGTCACTGGTGACTTCACAATAAACCATTTTCTCAGTGTGAGTCACAAAAACTCGCCTTCTCAATGTGACTCACAATAACCCGCATTCTCAATGTGACTCACAATAACCCGCATTATCAATGTGACTCACAATACTCCCTGTTCTCAACGTGACTCACACTGACCCACATCCTCAATTCGACTAAAAAAAACACGTTCTCAATGTAACTCACAATAACCCACATCCTCAATGTCACTCACAATAACCAACGTTCTCAATGCGACTAATAATAAACAGTGTTCCTGGTCAATGTGACTCACACTAAACAATGTTCCTGGTCAATGTGACTCACAATAAACAATGTTCCTGGTCAATGTGACTCACACTAAACAATGTTCCTGGTCAATGTGACTCACACTAAACACTGTTCCTGGTCAATTGACTCACACTAAACAATGTTCCTGGTCAATGTGACTCACAATAAACAATGTTCCTGGTCAATGTGACTCTCAATAAACAACGTTCCTGGTCAATGTGACTAACACTTAACAATGTTCCTGGTCAATGGGACACACAATTACACAATAAATAATGATCCTGGTCAATGTGACTAGCAATAAACAATCTCCTGGTCAATGTGACTCACAATAAACAATGCTCCTGGTCAATGTGACTCACACTAAACAATGTTCCTGGTCAATGTGACTAACAATAAACATGCTCCTGGTCAATGTTACCCACACTAAACAATGCAATGTGACTAACACTTAACAATGTTCCTGGCCAATGTGACTCACAATAACACAATAAACAATGTTCCTGGTCAATGGGACACACAATTACACAATAAATAATGATCCTGGTCAATGTGACTAACAATAAACATGCTCCTGGTCAATGTGACTCACACTAAACAATGTTCCTGGTCAACGTGACTCACAATAACACAATAAACAATTTTCCTGGTCAATGTGACACACAATAACACAATAAACAATAATACTGGTCAATGTGACTAACAATAAAAAATGCTCCTGGTCTATGTGACTCACACTAAACAATGTTCCTGGTCAATGTGACGCACACTAAACACTGTTCCTGGTCAATGTGACTCACAATAAACAATGATCCTGGTCAATGTGACTAACAATAAACAATGTTCCTGGTCAACGTGACTCACAATAACATAATAAACAATTTTCCTGGTCAATGCGACACACAATAACACAATAAACAATAATACTGGTCAATGTGACTAGCAATAAACAATGCTTCTGGTCAATGTGACTAACAATAAACAATGTTCCTGGTCAATGTGACTCACAATAAACAATGTTTCTGGTCAATATGACTCACAATAAACAATGTTCCTGTTCAATGTAACTCACAATAACACAATAAACAATGTTCTTGGACAATGTGACTCACACTAAACAATGTTCCTGGTCAACGTGACTCACAATAACACAATAAACAATTTTCCTGGTCAATGTGACACACAATAACACAATAAACAATAATACTGGTCAATGTGACTCACAATAAACAATGATCCTGGTCAATGTGACTAGCAATAAACAATGCTTCTGGTCAATGTGACTCACAAAAAAACAATGTTCCTGGTCAATGTGACTCACAATAAACAATGTTTCTGGTCAATGTGACTCACAATAAACAATGTTCCTGTTCAATGTAACTCACAATAACACAATAAACAATGTTCTTGGTCAATGTGACTCACAATAACACAATAAACAATAATACTGGTCAATGTGACTAACAATAAACAATGCTCCTGGTGAATGTGACTCACAATAAACAATGTTCCTGGTCAATGTGACAAACACTAAACAATGTTCCTGGTCAATGTGACTCACACTAAACAATGTTCCTGGTCAATTGACTCACACTAAACAATGTTCCTGGTCCATGTGACTCACACTAAACAATGTTCCTGGTCAATGTGACTCACACTAAACACTGTTCCTGGTCAATGTGACTCACAATAAACAATGTTCCTGGTCAATGTGACTCACAATAAACAATGTTCCTGGTCAATGTGACTCTCAATAAACAACGTTCCTGGTCAACGTGACTCACAATAACACAATAAACAATTTTCCTGGTCAATGTGACACACAATAACACAATAAACAATAATACTGGTCAATGTGACTAACAATAAACAATGCTCCTGGTCAATGTGACCCACACTAAACAATGTTCCTGGTCAATGTGACTCACAATAAACAATGATCCTGGTCAATGTGACTAGTAATAAACAATGATCCTGGTCATTGTGACTAACAATAAACAATGCTCCTGGTCAATGTTACCCACACTAAACAATGCTCCTGGTCAATGTTACCCACACTAAACAATTTTCCTGGTCAATGTGACTCACAATAACACAAAGCAATAATACTGGTCAATGTGACTAACAATAAACAATGCTCCTGGTCAATGTGACTCACAATAAACATTGTTTCTGGTCAATGTGATTCACAATAAACAATGTTCCTGTTCATTGTAACTCACAATAACACAATAAACAATGTTCTTGGTCAATGTGACTCACAATAACACAATAAACAATAATACTGGTCAATGTGACTAATAATAAATAATGATCCTGGTCAATGTGACTAGCAATAAACAATGCTCCTGGTGAATGTGACTCGCAATAAACAATGTTCCTGGTCAATGTGACTCACACTAAACAATGTTTCTGGTCAACGTGACTCACAATAACACAATAAACAATGTTCCTGGTCAATGTGACTAATAATAAATAATGATCCTGGTCAATGTGACTCAAAATAAACAATGATCCTTGTCAATGTTACTAGCAATAAACAATCTCCTGGTCAATGTGACTCACAATAAACAATGTTCCTGGTCAATGTGACTCACAATAACACAATAAACAATGTTCTTGGTCAATGTGACTCATAATAACACAATAAACAATAATACTGGTCAATGTGACTAATTATAAATAATGATCCTGGTCAATGTGACTAGCAATAAACAATGCTCCTGGTCAATGTGACTCACAATAAACAATGTTCCTGGTCAATGTGGCTCACACTAAACAATGTTCCTGGTCAATGTGACTCACACGAAACAATGTTTCTGGTCAATGTGACTCACAATAATACAATAAACAATAATACTGGTCAATGTGACTAATAATAAACAATGCTCCTGGTCAATGTGACTCACAATTAACAATGTTCCTGGTCAATGTGACTTACAATAAACAATGTTCCTGGTCAATCTGACTCACAATAAACAATTATCCTGGTCAATGTGACTCACAATAACACAATAAACAATGTTCCTGGTCAATGTGACTCACAATAACACAATAAACAATAATACTGGTCAATGTGACTAATAATAAACAATGTTCCTCGTAAATATGACTCACAATAAACAATGTTCCTGGTCAATGTGACTCACAATAAACAATAATGCTGGTCAATGTGACTAATAATAAATGATGATCCTGGTCAATGTGACTAACAATACACAATGTTCCTCGTAAATATGACTAGCAATAAACAATGTTCCTGGTCAATGTGACTCACAATAACACAATAATGCTGGTTAATGTGACTTACAATAACCAATGGTTCTGGTCAATGTGACTAACAATAAACAATGTTCCTGGTCAATGTGACTCACACTAAACAATGTTCCTGGTCATTGTGACTTACATTAAACAATGTTCCTGGTCAATGTGACTCACAATAACACAATAATGCTGGTTAATGTGACTTACAATAACCAATGGTTCTGGTCAATGTAACTAACAATAAACAATGTTCCTGGTCATTGTGACTCACAATATACAATGTTCCTGGTCAATGTGCCTCACTCTAAACAATGTCGCTGGTCAATGTGACTCACAATAAACAATGTTCCTGGTCATTGTGACTCACAATATACAATGTTCCTGGTCAATGTGACTCACTCTAAACAATGTCGCTGGTCAATGTGACTTACAATAAACAATGTTCATGGTCAATGTGACTTACAATAAACAATGTTCATGGTCAATGTGACTCACAATAAACAATGTCGCTGGTCAATGTGACTCACTCTAAACAATGTTGCTGGTCAATGTGACTCACAATAAACAATGTTCCTGGTCAATGTGACTCACAATATACAATGTTCCTGGTCAATGTGACTCACTCTAAACAATGTTGCTGGTCAATGTGACTGACGCTAAACAATGTTCCTGGTCATTGTGACTTACAATAAACAATGTTCCTGGTCATTGTGACTTACAATAAACAATGTCGCTGGTCATTGTGACTCACAATAAACAATGTTCCTGGCCAATGTGACTAACGATGTTGTGTACGATATTTTCATTTTCATAGAAACTGAAAGTTAAAGTGAAACTATGAGTTTGAGTACATTGTACGAGGTCGAATGTTATCTAAATATAGCTGAAAATTCTCAAACCTTGGGTTCTGGTAGAGTGTATGTATTAAGGTTTGACGAAATACCAGTGCATAACAGTTAGAGACTCAAATAGTTGAGGCCCTCTTGAAGATTAGGCACATATATTCTTATACACAAAATATTCTTTATTAGCTATGAATGATGAATAATTCGTTTGTGTTAAGTAGACCTTCCTAAGTACTCATTTGTCAAACGTGTATTGTTGTGTATTTCTATTTGGAATGCTATCTCTTTTATAATTGAAAGTGAAAGTGAAACTGCGCATATCACATGCGTAGTCTTTCAGGAAACGAATGCACCATACCATACGTACGGGTTCGAAGGTTATTCTAATAATATCTGAAACTTTTCAATGACTGGGATTCCGTAGTGTGTCAATATAAGGGCCTGACGCAATACCAATGATTCATAATGGTTAGAGACTTGAATAATCTAGGCGTTCTGGACGATTGTGCACATATACTTGTACACACACCAAGTGATGTAACATTATACTCGTAAACAACAGAAAATGGCTGCGTGCATGTGTACCTGCACGCAGACACGTTGAATCTTTCGTGATAGCTGTAGCTCATCTAAGAACAGCATGGGCACAGCATGGGGAAAGCCCGAGGGGGACAGTGAAAGTTCAGGCGTAGACGAGTCCTGGCTGGAGGGCACGAATGTCCGAGAACCACAGCGGGTGAGTTGCATGTATACATCATAGCACAGGGGCACGCAAACTACTAATAACATTGATTTTGTTAGGCTTTCAGTCACAGCGTGCGATACGTAGTGAATATCATACTATATAATATAGTATTGAATGTATTTTGATTTTGCTAGACTTTCAGTCGATGGATACGATAAGTTTAAAGCGATTGAAAGTCTAACAAAATCAATACTAATAGGAGTTGCGTGCCCCTGTGATAATAGCATTACTATATATTGTCCGACCACATTGACCTTTCGTGTTGACCTTCGATTTCCATAATAGGGAGAAACTGTAGATATGCATGTTTACTGCATATTTCCCACCTCTCACAATGGCAAACTGTGGGCAATAAATCACTTGCTACCACAGTCCACTGCACACATAACCCCCTTTCATGGCCAATCATGATTACATGACCATGAAAGGGGGGATGAAAGTGGACTGTGGTCACAAATGATGTAAGAAAGGGGAGATAATTAATAAGTAAGTAACGATGAAGTCAATAATTAATACAGTGAAAAGGATAAACTTAGTTGACACATTTAAAATAAGAAAAACAAAAAAGTTAAAAATGGTAATTTCATGATTGAAAAACAAACAATAAAAAATACTGAGTTGGCAGCGTTATTGATTTCCTTATCATGCGAGAGGATAAGCATTTCCTGAAAAAGTTTATAATCTTTAGGAGCTGTTTCGTTATACAAAATTGCACATTCAAATATACCATTCATTGAAAGAACTGGAATTTCTTAGGGATTGATAAACCCTTACATTGTATGTATGAAAATGGTTACAAAAATTAAACTGAAAATGTTGTCAGAAATTCAACATTGTTTCTCGTATTTTGTTCTAATTGTTGAACAGACACTCCTTACTGCATACTTCCCACCTCTCACAATGGAAAAGTGTGGGCAATAAATCACTTGCTACCACAGTCCACTGCACACATAATCCCCTTTCAAGGCCAATCATGATTACATGACCATGAAAGGGGGTGTGCCCAGTGGACTGTGGCCACAAATGCTGTAAGAACGGGGAGATAATCAATCAGTGAGTAACGATGAAGTCAATACAGTAGAGGATAAACTTAGTTGACACATTTCAAATAAGGGGAAAAAATGAAAGTTAAAAATGGTAATTTCATGATTGAAAAACACAAACAGATTTCCTTATCACGTGAGAGGATAAGCATTTCCCGGAAAAGTTTATAATCTTAAGGAGCTGTTCCTTTATACAAAATTGCACATTCAAATATACCATTCATTGAAAGAACTGGAATTCCTTAGGGATTGATAAACCCTTACATTGTATATATGAAAATGGTTTCAATATCCTGTACCTTTGCCACATCTTGAAAATTAAACTGAAAATGTAGTCAGAAATTCAACATTGTTTCCCGTATTTTGAACAGACACTCCTTACCTTCCCTGACACTGGACCTGGATAGTAATCCAAAAACACTTGTATCCATTATGAAGGATACACTCAGACTGGGCTATTGAGAATCTTACCTGGTTATGATTAGTACTCACTCACATAGGTACATGTAAATTATCTGCAGTGTAGGGTAGGTAAAAAGATTGTCCAGGTGAACATTTTTTACTCAACTTTTCTGTTTTGTTCGAGTTGGGAAGCATGCAGTAAGCCAGTTATTGCATGATTTCTCGTCACTCGGGTGTAATAAATCCCTTGTTACTCGAAAACCATGCAATAACCTTTACTTACCTTCCCTGACACTGACAAAATTACCTGGTTCTGATTAGTACTCACTCAGACAGGTACATGTAAATTATCTGCAGTGTAGGGTAGGTAAAAAGATTGTCCAGGTGAACATTTTTTACTCAATGTTTCTGTTTTGTTCGAGTTGGGAAGCATGCAGTAAGCCAGTTATTGCATGATTTCTCGTCACTCGGGACTTCGCTCGGGTGTAATAAATCCCTTCTTACTCGAAAACCATGCAATAACCTTTACATGTTACAGGTATGCAAGAATAAATATGATTTTGATTTCATTTGTCGGTATTGCAACAACTACTTATATTTATATTATATGTATCAATACCTGTCATCTGTACAAGTATGTGTTACATATAGCACATACAAAATGTGTAACCCGGGGGTCGATCTCTGTAAGCTGAATTATAATAACATATCATAAATACACAATATTTTCCAAAATTTTACATTACATGGGTTTTTAAAAAGTCACTTTTGTTTTAAAAATCACTTACATATTTGATAAACCGTGAAACTATCCCTGATATAATATCTCATTTATTTCAATGTGAAGCTGATAGTAATACTGACAGGTGGTCTCGGTATACGTAGTCTGTACTCGATACACCTGAACATATATCAACGACAGGTGGGTGGGCATAAATATATACAAGGAACGTAACCGACCATTATAAATATTCAAACATGTGACAGGTAAATTGTGTCTGACTATAGTCGGGATAATCAAAACACTGTACAATACAAACGTGTACTGATCAAGGCTTGTGACCCTTCAACGATGGTGTGATCTGTTATATATTTTAATGGATAATTACGGAAACATTTAAAATTTTGATCTAAAATTATTAAAGTTACATATGATGACTTAGTTTATTAAAGTATATACCCATATTCTAAATAATATTCTTAATTCACCATACATGTAAAACTGCTCAACCCGACAGCAACTGCTGTTTCGTTTGAGCGTTTACCTGGATGTGATGTAAAAACCCGGACCCGGAATAAAACGTATTCATTGACATCATGCTGATCATTATAACAGGCTTTTGACAAGGCAATCAGCTCTAAAGAGAAAAGTGTTATTCATGTTTAATAAATATGGCAGGCATCTATATTCTATTTTTATCGATAATTGATATACAAAAACAACTTTTTTACGATTTTTTTTTTTTGTGTGCATTCGACAAAAGATACCAATGCGCGCGACTTCAATGATGTCACTTCGGTAGATTGCTCATTTTATTTCTGAAGTATGGACCTTGCATATTAATATTAAGATAAACTAAATAAATAAATAAGATAAAAACAAATCCTTTCGTTAAAAATTAATACATTTTAATTACGAAGAAGAAAATAGAAGCAATCTTTACATAACTGTAAGTGGAGTTAAGATGTCAGCCTGTTATACTTGAAATGGTGTTATAAAAGCACCACCGGTAGATTCTAGCAGACGAACTGTACTGATAAATACTTCCAATAGGAAAAGTCATATAAAATTCACAGAAATTAATTAATTAATTCATAATGATAATTGAATAATCATGTATATCACTCAATACCTCCAGGACCGTAGCCCAATCGCCGTGAAAACATGACGTTCGATTTTGCTATAACATATGTTAGGGGTGCAGAGAGCGAAAATGAGGGTAACTCCTGGAGTATCGAAGATGATTCCAGGGGTGCAGAGAGCGAAAGTGAGGGTAACTCCTGGAGTATCGAGGATGATTCCAGGGGTGCAGAGAGCTAAAGCGAGGGTAAACCCTGGAGTATCGAGGATGCAAAACATGGTGCTAAATGTCATACTATGTTTATGAGTTTTACCTTTTCATACTGAATCCAAGACGGCCGAATAATGATGGCTGTCTTAAGCCTTTGATTGGATCCAACATGTTGAACTTCAAATACAGGCATGTCAATTCTAATAAAACGATATACAAATGTTTCGGTCATAGCATTGACCAAGTATTCATATATTTCGGATCATTTCGCAATCAAAGATGGCCGTCTGTCCTCTGGTTGATTCAAGTTATCTTCAACTATATAAGATAAATTGTTATCAAATGTATATTCTTCATCTGATATTTTTTTCATGATTGTTTGAAATATAATATGTAACTTGTTGGATACACCTAGATTTTTTAAATTAAAAGTAATTAATAGTCTTCTGTATCTTTATCTGTTTTCTGTAGTATGTAATATACATGTACAGTAGAGAACTATATTAAATTTCCTTGTGGTGTCTACTCAACCAAAACATCAAGTCCCCCCACCTTGCTCCCTCGGCGTAAGCACAACGCAACGACTAAGAGAGAACACAATAGCGGGAGTACGAGACCACGATGTCTAATGACAGCCCTCTATCCATAAAGGCTTCAGTTTATAAATAAGCCTCATTGATTAAAGCGGGTTTTTTTCTTTTTAATATTTCAGAATAGTCGCCATGTTGAGACACTGAAGAAAACACACATTAAGAAAGTCAGACGGAGGCGTGAGTATTGAATATATGAAGAATATATAAGAAGTTGTAATACAACAGCAAATTGAATGAGTGTCAGGAATAATATGTCAGCCCAAGTTTGATCATATACTTGCCACAGTCTGGCAATATACCTGCCTCAGTCTGACAATATACCTACCTCGTTCTGACAGTATACCTACCTCGTTCTGACAATATACCTACCTCGTTCTGATCAGTTACCTGTCTCATTCTGACTAAGTATCAACTTTAGTCTTATCATATACCTGCTTCAGTCTGATCATATACCTGCCTCAGTCTGATCATATACCTGCTTCAGTCTGATCATATACCTGCCTCAGTCTGATTAATTACCAGTATCAGTCTGATCATATATCTATCGAAGTCTAATAAGATATCTGCCTCAATCCGATCATATATAAATCAAATCTGCTAATTTTTCAGCCTCAGACTGATCATATATCCGTCTCATTCTGGTCAAATATCAACCTGAGTCTGACCATATCTGCCTCATTCTTATCAATTACGAATCTCGATCTGAATATTTATCGGTCTTAGTTTGATCAGATATCTGCCTCAATCGGATCAGATATCTACCTCAATCTGATCAGATGTCTCCCTCAGTCTGATCATATATCTGCCTCGGTCTGTTCATATATCCGGGCATTTGCAACAAGCCAATATATTTCTCAACTCCCTGGGGAGCATACAGCCGGTGCTGCCATTTCGGTGCTCACAGCTAGCATTCTACAATTCTAGCACTACCCAACCACGTACTCATTTACAGCTGAGTAGACTGGAACAAGCGGAGTAAAGTATCTTTCTCAAAGATACAACACAGTGCCGTGGCGAGAGTCGAACTCGCAACTCTTCGGTCACGAGCCCGGAATCCTACTACTAAACTACCGTGCCTCCTCAATCGAATCAGATATCTACCGCAGTTTGATCAGATATCTGCCTCAGTCCAATCATATATCCGGCTCAGTCTGTTTATATATCCGCCTCAGTCTGATCAGATATCAGCCTCAGTCTGATCATATTTATCCGCCTCAGTCTGATCAGATATCAGCATCAGTCTGATCATATATCCGCCTCAGTCTGATCAGATATCAGCAACAGTCTGATGATATGTCCGCCTCAGTCTGATTATATATCTACCTCAGTCTGATCATACATCTACCTCAGTCTAATCAGATATCTGTCTCAGTTTGATCAAACATCTGCCTCAGTCTCATAATATAACTACTTCGTTTTGATCAGTTACCTGTCTCATTCTGATTAAGTGTCAACTTCAGTCTGATCATGTATTTGCTTCAGTCTGGTCAGATATCTGCCTCAGTCTATCACATGTATCTGCTACAGTCTGATCAGATACCGGTCTTAGATTGATCTTATACCTGCCTCAATTTGATCAGATACGTCTCAATCTGATCAGATACCAACCTTACTCTGTTAAAAAACCCAGCTCAGTCTAATCTTGAAAGTCATTGTGACACTATTTGTGATAGTGATTAATGTTACATAAAATACTGGAATTATTCTATGTTATATGCACCTTATTTTATGAACAGCTAATTTGCGTATGTATGTTAGTATGAGCATTCTAAGTGTGTTTATAATTCGATAACTTCATTTTAGCCAAATCGAGAGCTTGTTCCCTAGATGACTCCAATCGAGATGAGCACGATAACGTACGTGCACGTCCACGGCGTCAAGCTCCGGATCGTGTGGCGGCAGCCAGTATATCGACTGCGTCCCAAAACCGTTTTGATGTGGAGGAAGATACAAGTGAACAGTCAGATGACGATTTCTTGACTATTGCTCAGGTTGAAAACTTGTTCGATTACGGACTACATGAAACTACTGCAGAGGAAGTAGAAGACGGAATCAAGGAACTTGAACAAAAGATGATGATACAAGGAGTGACTTTATCTGATAAGTTCATTGATAGGTGTGCTTTTTGGGATAAGAAGAACTATTATACCAGCGGTCGTTCCATAGACGAATTACGTGCTTTATTACATAATAATCCGAAACGATTTAAAGCTTGTTCTCTTCAGATCGAATCAGCTCACAAGGCAGTCTGTGTATTGTTACGACCGGAAGAAAAGTTAACATCCATTGAAATCAGTGGTCGTTCTAAATGTGGAAAATACTTTTCAGAAGATGAAGTAGTCGTTGAAATCTTGAACAATGACCACAGCACGTATGAAATACCGCGCTTCCATAAAAAACTCAAACAAAATCAAGATTTCAAAGCATATGGAAAAATCGTCGGAAGACTGTCGTCAAAGCGCTTTCGAAATATAGAACACCCAGTTCTCCTTTGTGAATTAGATGATATCGACTACCATCTTATGAGACCATTGGATAAAACAGTGCCAAAGATGCATGTTTTCAACAAAAATGTAAAAGGCAAATTCCAAGTTGAGACATACCATTACAACTCAAAGACTAAAGAGTTAAACTTCAGCGAGGTAGTCGACATCAATCCTGCCAAAAAACAATGCTACGTATTCCTGGTTGTGTACATACGGTGGGATGCAGTATATCCTCTAGGAGCTGTGATGAAAATCATGAGGACTGACGGAGATACAAACAATGGTTTAAAAATTCTTGAAATTCAGTATCAAGTACCGACAACACACAACAAGGACACGGTACAAGCTGTTGACGAAATCATGAGAAGAACAACAGAAGAACCTTCTCGTACCATGCTAGAAGGTCGGGAAAATTTAACAGACTCGCTTCCTGTCTTTACAATCGATCCTCCCGACTCCAAAGATCTCGACGATGCACTTAGTCTAAGACGACTACATAACGGGGTTATTGAGGTCGGGGTACATATAGCAGACGTGGCCAATTTCGTGCAAAAAGATGACAGAATTGACGTGGAAGCAAGACAGAGAGCGACTACGTTTTACCCAGGAAATGGGAAACATCCACATCACATGTTGCCGAAACCCCTGAGTGAGAACCTTTGCAGCTTGATTCCACATCGATCGCGACTTGCTTTGTCTTTGTTTTTCCAATTCTCGATCAACGGTAAATCGAATACAGAAAGTCCTTGCATTAAGAAAACGGTTGTTAAATCAAGACGCCAATTCACATATGCTGAAGTACAAGACATAATACTTGATCGCACAAAAGACGAAACGTTTTCAGAAGATATCAAAACGCTGTTTTCCATAGCAAGGAGTATTCGCAGCAGTAGACTTGGTGAAGCGATGCACGCACTTCCAATAGATGTTGACCTCTCTGGGAAAGTAGACTGCGATTCTCTGTTTGAATCACCAGAAGCGCACTATCTGGTAGAAGAATTTATGATATTGTCAAATAAAACGGCCGCAGAGTTAGTTTGTAAATCATACAAAGACTGTGCATTGTTAAGATGTCAGGATGCACCACCACCTGAAAAGGTAAATAAATGGCTGACAGACTTTCCACGGATCGCTGACATTGTGCTCAAACTTCAGAACATTAAACCCAACCCACAAAGACAATTGAAAATCGATAACGCTCCAAAAGCAAGATACAGAGTTGTCATTGGCCTACAGGCTTGGCTTTGGACTTTTCTAGAGGAGAAAATTCGCGAAGGCAATTTTCGGGATGCATGGAAACTCATTGGTAGCGACGAACTTCATCCAGAACAGGCGCTGGCTTGGTCTGAATGGATACAATTTCAAGAGCATGCAGAATATAGATGCCTTGGAGAAATAAAAAATCGACAAAAGGGATTTCACTTTTCTCTTGGCATATCACCGTACACACATTTCACTTCCCCTATCCGGAGATATGCAGACCTGGTAACTCATCGTCTGATACATGCAGCACTTGACAAGCAATCGACGCCGCCATATACCAGATCCGACATTGTTGAAATATGCAGTCAGATTAACGACGTTTCAAGGCGAGCAAAGATGTACGGAAAACAATGCAAAATACTACAACACAGTACCCTTCTCAAACGTAGTCCTGTGGTGTTTAACTGTTTCATTGATGACGTGTCAGATCAAAGTATTGTATTCCATGTCCCAGAGATGCGTCTGTTACCTCAAAGGTGTAGAGAAGTGACACTTAACTTGTTGAATGTGTCAAGTCAGCCAACGATTATCAAAGACAAAGACGATGATAGACCGTTTGACATACTTACACTTGCCTGGCAGAAACGCTTATACTCTCATAGAGGCTATGCTCCCTCAGTCAGAGGTTATTCAGATATTCGTATTGATCCGCATCAAAAAGCGACGTTTCAGCAGTATTCACGCTGGACTGATATTCTGAAAGCTTTGGTAATTGGAAACACTGAATCGCTTAAGGAAACTGTCTCTGTGTACTCTGACTTCCAGGAAGGGGACCAACTGAGATCATACGTTCCAGCGTGTACATCGACGGTGAAAGACGTCAGTTCAGAAGTCAGAGATGGTGTCATCACAAAGCATTTCTGTGAGTTCAGTATGTCCTTCAACCATGCACAAATCATGTCATTACAAATTGGCGCAGAGCCTCAGAAAGGCGTTCTTGCGCCGTACCCGGAGTTACTAGAGTTAACAGACAACGTTAAATTTTGTTTGCAGCACCCACAGGACCCGGTAAAATACTTGGCCGGGTACGCAACGAAAGCAGTACAATCTACCAATTACAAATCAATAGACGAATACCTGAAGACGTGGTTGCCATTATTACGCATGGAAAACACGACACTAGCTGCAAGAGATGATTCAGTTACACTGAATGACCTTCCGGTGAAGTTCAATGATAACAAAGGATCGTTTGTACTGAAAAAGAACTTCTGTGAAGAAAGAAACATTGTATACCGTGTGCAATCTCTAGATTTTCTTTTGAACGAAGCTGAAGCTGATGAAACAATAGATGAACTAAAATACGTCGCATGCTTGGATTACTTATGTGTTAAACATTCGTATGTATGTGACAGCAAAGACTGCAAAGGTATTCCAGGAGCGAAAAGAATATGGCTTACTCATGGTCAAGTGGAAGAGATAAAAAGTACAAAAGGGGAAATCGAGGTACATTTTACGCTTCATGCTTCAAGCCCGCGACTACCGCAACAGTTACTGACTGGTTCAAGTACCCTTGCTTGCAGTGTGGAGATCCTCTCCAAACCCGAATCGGACAGGTACGCATGATTCCAAACTGAATAACATGTAGAGTTAATTATATTTTTTTTCTTTTGCTTTAATCGTCGGCTCCTGTTTCAATTATACTATGGGGTTTTCCGATTTGTATTTGACAACATTCTTTCCTTTATTACCCAAAAATAAAATAGTATGTATCTGAAAGAATTCGTGGAAACATCATCCAATTCGAATTTTATATATTTTGAGAGCTTGATAAAAACATTACATTTTAATAGTTAAACCCATAGACGATCTTTCCACATCTTGGTAAGTAAATTATATTTGTTCATACTGTGACAGATTTGTGCTCTTTCGTTGTTTTGTCTTTTCGAGGCAAAAGGAGATTGAATAAAAACAATAAATTATAAAGCGAGAAGACGAAACAAGATACTTAAGGTTTGTTAAGTCACCTCTTTCGGGGCGAAAAAGCGAAACAACGAAAATTAAGGGTTGGTCAATGTCGTATTGTCGAGGCGAAAAGACAGAGATTTCTTGCCCGAAAAGGCGTGAAAATATGTCACTTTGAACCTATTTTTAATCTTTCTTCTCCCTCTCGGGGGTTGGAAGTAAGGGATTAAACAGCGAAATGGCACAAATAAACCACCCATATTCATTACTGTTACTGACAGAAGGACAGAAGCTGCTCTGTTGTGTCTTCCCAAAGCGAACGTTGTCGTGCGAGCAGCAGCCATTGGACACCAGATTACACCATTGGGTTTGTAAAGTCTAAACATATTTTATTACGTTTTTTCGAAAATTAAAATTCGGATTTCACTAACAAAAAATGTTATGTTTCACATAATGACAGATGTTAAAAGTGATATTTTCACAATTCTAAAATATCACCTTTGGTATTGACCAATCAGAAAAGTACTTTCTATTTATTTCGTTCAAAGCCGCAGAATTTCTGTATAGATACAGATGAAGCGAATGTAGAAAAAGTGGGTTTTTAACATCTTTGTGACAATTACTAAGGTATTAATTTACCTACAAAAGTGATACCACTTTTGAAAGCAAATATCAAAGAAATGTCAGAATTGTGTCAAGTAGTATATTCAAAATGGTGCACAGCTTTGTTGTCAAGAGTGACGTCATTAGAATATGACATCAATTATTACGGTATTATGTTTCCAACTGTTCAACGTTCAATACCATAAATATTTAACCATTGGCAGAATAAACCGATATTTTCACTCGTGCGAAAATATCATTTTTTGCAATGTTCGAGAAACGTGTGGGGTATTCAGCATTCAAAAAATGACTTTCCTCCTTTTGATGTATGCTACGATTAAGCCGGGATATTGAAAAGAGACATATGAGTAAGGATGGTTTCATTACAATTTCTGAATTTTGAGTACAACTCTGTTGTTAATTTTGCAGATAAAAGCTACTTTAAACTAGCAAGGCAAATGGAAACAGAGGTCAATGTGATCGGTCTAGCACCCAACAATCCCAAGCAGCATGAAGCGATACACACGGCGCTTTGTAACAGATTAACCTTCATTCAAGGACCACCAGGTATTTAAAATATATTCATTTTATGCTTTCGACATGAACTAAATTAATGTTTTCCGTTTTTTAATATAAAATTATTAAATCCGTTGTTATATAAACAAGTAACATTATCATAACTATATATTTTGTATACACAAACAAATATCGACGTGTAAGGTTTACTCTCATGTGTTAATTAAGATACATCAGGTAGTTATGTAAGAACTTTTTAAACTTGCATGCTTCTAATCAAATGTCTTTGAATAGGTACAGGAAAGACCTACACTGGCATCAAACTGCTGTACCTGTTCACCAAGCTGAACAGAGTATGGTACCAAGAAGGAAATCCTTTCAGACAAGTTGTATTCTGTGGACCATCAAACAAATCTATTGATCTTGTCGCAAGTAAGTTTACACCCGCTGCCTTTGCATTTTTCTTGGTGTTTTTCTATCTTTCTTTTCTTTCTTTTTCACATTATGTCATATTATTGTTCCTAATATATTTCCCGGCGAGATCGAATTATATCAACTTGATAAAACTGAGTTATTTCACAATGTGACAAATATCAATAGTCATACTTTTTACACAATAAAAATATTGGTATTGGCCAATCAGAACGGCACTTTCAATTCACTTTTTTCAAAGCCACTCAATTTCCGTTTAGATAACCTTGAAACGACGCACGAATAAGTCGTTTTTGGTACATCTAGTCTACATACACCTATGTTTTAATGTAACTGATAACAATAAAATTGGTACTATTCACGTTTGCAAATTTTACCAAATAATAGCAGAAAACGTTAGAAGAGCGTTGAGTGGCCCATCTGTTACATAAATTCGGACAATTTTTAAACCCGGATATGATAGTAAGTAGGTATCCAACTTTGGTCATTCCTCTAAGAAGGGTTTTAACCAGCAGAAAGTTATTGACAAATTAATAGTATATCTAATATTAAAATCATCACAAATCGGCGATTTTTTTATTTTTTTTTGTTTTTTGGGTTTTTTTGTTTTTTTTAAATCAAAGATTTTGTTTTATATCTATCTTTGTAATAGAGAGAGACTATAATATCAGATTTTATAAAACACGTACAATAGTTGCTGTTTCTTCAAGCTTAATGTATTAAATAGTATGGTCGATTAAATCGAATAAGCCAAACAATAGGATATACTTTATCAATTATTTTTACAAATGAAATATAAAGTTTGACAACTTTAGACAGTAGACATTTTTTTTCTACGGTGACAAACAACACTTTCGTCATATTACACCAAACTAACCTATCAGAGAGTAGTGAAGTTAAGTTTGAAAGATAACAAACGCACGTATCACTGACAGCTATAATTTTTAAAAAAAACATCATCATTATCTCTCTTATACCTGTTAAGATAACATCACAAAAATGCTACTCTTGTAAAACTAAATTTTTGATATGTTTGGCTTCATGTCTAAAGAACCAAGCATAAGAAAATAAAAAATCACTTTTACGAGCATGACTACTCATAACTATGTGCATCTATCGAGTAA